GGTCTTCTGGGTGCCTCGCTGCAGCGGTCTCCCCAGCGTGAGCCCCTCTCACCACAGCAGCTGCGCGAGTGGCTTGCCCGGTGCACCTCTTCAGAGTCGCGCTGGAGCTGGAGGCACTGGGACTGGAGGCACTGGTGCTGGAGGCGCTGGCACTGGAGGTGCTGGCGCTCGAGGTGCTGACACTGGAGCCGTTGAGCTGGAGGCGCTGGAGCTGGTGGCGCTGAAGCTGGAGGTACTGGCGCTGGAGGCACTGGTGCTGGAGGCGCTGGCGCTGTTGCTACTGGAGCTGGAGGCGCTGGAGCTGGAGACGCTGGAGCTGGAGGAGCTGGAGCTATAGTACTGGCGCTGGAGACAGTGGCGCTGGAGGTACTGGAGCTGGAGGTGCTGGAGCTGGAGGCGCTGGAGCTGGAGGCCCTGTGCAGCAGCGACCGTTTTTTCTTGCCGCCGCCGCTGCTAACCGAGCTTCCGCCCGAGTCGGTGCTCCGCCAGGTTCTTAGTCTTCCTTCGTCCACTGCCCTTCCTCCGGACTCACCGCTGCCTGCCCCGTCTCGTTACACTGAGCAGCCGGTCTCCCTTACAGAGCGTCGTGAGCCTACGTCTCATCCTGCCTCCCCTGTTCGCACTGCTCGTCGTGTCCCGCGTCCGCGTCCTCCTCCTGTGCCAGGTACACACCCTATGGCACTTCGTCCTTCCTCTGTTCCACAGCGCGACCCTCTGCCGTCCCCTGCTGTGTCCTCTCTTCCTGACGTTCCGAACACTGAGTCCGACACGGTTCGTGCTGCCAGCCCTACTGTCACCCGTCTCCTTGCTACTTTTGTCACTGACCCGTCGTTTGAGTCTACTGCTGCGTCTGCCTTAGTTGCTGAGCTTGTGGACTTTGCTGCTGCTTGTCGTCTAGACTACGCTGCCAGTCTTGTTGTTGAGTCTGAGTCTGTCTGTCCTCCGTCCGTCTGGGGTGAGTGTGCTCTTAGCACGGACGTCCTTGAGGACAGGCAGGAGGACTTTGAGTATCTTGCGGCTGCTGTACCTCATCTCGTGGCCTGGCTGCTTGCGCCTGAGGGAGACCCGGATGCACTTGACATCCCGACCCCGCGCTCTTACGCAGAGGCGATCACGGGTCCCTACTCCTCTCAGTGGCAGACATCCATGGACGCAGAGATGGCATCCTAGAAGTCCACAGGCACCTACGTCGACGAGGTTCCCCCTCCTGGGGCGAACATTGTCGATGGCATGTGGATTTTCAGGGTGAAGCGGCCGCCAGGTTCTCCGCCTGTCTTCAAGGCGCGTTACGTTGCACGAGGCTTCAGTCAGTGACAGGGAGTTGACTTCTTTTTTCAAACCTTCTCCCCTACCCCGTAGATGACCACTCTTCGGGTGCAGCTGCACTTTGCGTGACTACGAGCTTCACTCTCTTGACTTCAGCACAGCGTTCTTACAGGGCAGCCTGCACGAGGAGATCTGGCTGCGCCGCCCACCTGGCTTCACTGGGTCGTTCCCTCCTGGTTCCCTCTGGAGCCTCAGGCGGCCAGTCTACGGTCTCCGCCAGGCGCCTCGTGAGTGGCACGACACACTGAGGATGACACTTGCGGCTCTTGGGTTTGCTCCTTCCACTGCTGACCCGTCGCTGTTTCTACGCACCAACACTTCGCTGCCGCCGTTCTACATCCTCGTGTACATTGACGACTTGGTCTTTGCCACTACTGACACTGAGGCACTGGCCCTTGTGAAGTCGGAGCTGCAGAAGAGACACACCTGCACTGACCTTGGTGAGCTGCGCAGCTACCTTGGCTTGCAGATCACCTGGGACAGAGCACGCCGCACCATCACCCTTTCTCTGTCACACATGGTGCAGCAGGTCCTTCAGCGCTTCAGCTTCCAGTTCTCCTCACCACAGTCCACTCCTCTGCCTACCGGTCACTCACTCTCAGCTCCACCTTCGGACGAGTCCGTAGAGTCGAGTGGCCCGTATCCAGAGCTTGTGGGCTGCCTCATGTACCTGATGACCTGCAATCGTTCTGACCTTGCGTACCCTCTTAGCATCCTGGCACGCTACGTTGCGCCTGGGAGACACCGACGAGAGCACTGGGAGGCTGCTAAGAGGGTGCTGCGCTACTTGTGCAGTACATCTAGCATGGGGCTGGTGCTTGGAGGACGGGGTCGAGTTGTCCTCACTGGACACTCAGACGCGTCTTGGGTTGACGACCTGGCTACGCAGCGGTCGTTACAGGGTTACACCTTCAGCCTTGGTTCCGGCTCTGTTTCTTGGCGGTCTACCCGCTCGTCTTCTGTTCTCAGCTCCAGTTGTGAGGCTGAGATCTACGCAGGGGCCATGGCTGCACAGGAGTTACGCTGGCTCACCTACGTGCTGACCGACTTGGGAGAGCGGCCTCGTTCTCCTCCAATTCTGTACGTCGACAACAAGGCCGCCATCGCCTTGTGTCAGGAGCACAGACTGGAGCACAGAACGAAGCACATCGCTCTGCGTTACTTCCTTGCTCGAGAGTTGCAGCAGCGTGGCCAGCTTCGTCTTGCTTACGTAGCCACTTGGGCCAACACAGCTGATCTATTTACCAAGGCACTTTCGCCTGGTGAGCGTCAGCGTCTCTGTACTGCTCTAGGTTTCGTGCCTACGTTTCTAACTTGCTCTACGCTTTACCTGGTTTGTACTGTGATCTAAATACATCCTTGCATGGTTACACTTTCTAGGTTGTGATCACTGTACTTGCCGTCATACCCCGGATATACCCCCATGGGGGGCAATAATAAAGCAGGTTTTTTTGGGGGGGTGGGCTTATAATCGAGTAAATTTATAAGCGCCGGCGTTTATAAAACGACATCTATAATTGATATATTTTTTAACACCAAGCTGTAGATCTCGTGCTTGCCTTTTCAATCGAGTCGAAGTTACATGGGGTCGTCTGTGAAATTCTTGCGCGCGCTGGAGATACACCCACTCTGACAGCTCCTGACAGCTTCTGACAGCTTCTGACAGCTCCTGACTGCTCCTGCTGACTGGACCCGCATCCAGTGCAGGGTCCGAATGTGAAGGGAAGTGAATCTGCAACACATCCCCCTGCTAAAGTAAATATCGTTACAGTGTTTCGAACACATTTCAAAATTTAAAGTTTACGTGCGCTTATAATAAAACAAGTTTTTTCAGGGGGTGCGCTTATAATCTAGCAGCGGATATAAGCGCCATGCGCCAATTAAAAGCGCCAGGCGCTTATCCGAGGGTGGCGCTTATATCCGGGGTATGACGGTATTGGTTTGTTTTACGTATATCCCACTGCATGTGAACTGGCCTTGTGGCCATTTGCTTGTGCTCGGAATGTGTGGTGACTTCGTGATCCACCCTGAGCTTGCTTTGTTTCTCTTGAGTGGTCTTGTGACCGCTTGTTTCCCCCATTTTGCCTATGGGGGTATGTCAAAATATGTTGTGTAGGCTGTAGTGGAATAGCCTATAAGGGGTACAACCCAATTAGGGTTTCCGTATTTGTACCTCGTTCCTGCATAGTTCATTCATTCCTTCCTGCTAGTTTATGACACATCACCGACAAGCCGCCCGATTTTAGCGTCGTGATTGATTGATTTGAGCGCATTTTAGATTGCATATGACTTGCATGCACTTGAAACATCTTTATAAAGAATAGTGACACATCACAAATAGTAAAAAACAATGCCTCTGGGGTGAAAACCATCAATGAAAAACATAAAAAGCATGCTACGGAGCATGCTACATATAAAAGCAGCAGCTATAATACCTTTTTATAAGAGCAGCAGCTTCTATATATGGGGTTATGACTGTAGTGTAGTTCTAGTTCACCGTAACAATCGCTCAGAGCACCTCGTTTCGCAGATGTATTTCGCAACTGTAGCACCACTCGCGAACCCAAATCACCTCGCTCCCATTCCACACTTATCCCCAGAATCCCTGCCTTTCTATCTGCTGAACGCTGATTATTTTGCGCTCAACGCATTCGGTCGAGTCCCCATTTCCATCAAATCTGGCCATGGCTGCGCACGTTTCAACCATGCATTGTGACTCTTCTCGACTATTTGTCCGCAAATTTCCTTTAGGCAAGGCTCCCGCTACTCACCACCCGCACAGACCTGTCGCACTCGCGCATATCCGCGAGCGCCCTACCGTCATCCGCGCCACTCGTCGCTTCTCGATCTCAATCCGTATCACTCCAAGCCGTCGCGCAACGGTCGTGCGAGCCGCGAAGACTCGCGTCCGCGCGGCTCGTCGCGCGCGCGGATGCTTCTTCAAGCGACTCAGCGCGTCCCACCCCCGGCGATGCCGCCGCCGCAGATGCCGCTCAACCTTCGGATCGGCGGCGAGCGCGGCTGGCGGTGTTCGTATCGGGCGGCGGGTCGAACTTCAAAGCGATCCACGCGGCGTGCGCTGAAGGGCGCGTGAACGGCGACGTGGTGGTCGTCGTTAGTGATAAACCAGGTCAGCATATAACGAGTATGGTTCGTCTCACTGGGAGTTAACGCAGGAGCATATTCGATCTCCACGTGCTGGTGGGACGGCTTGGCTTTCTTTACTTTGTTTCTTGTGTTGACTGCCTGACTCCGCTCAATGTGCTCTCCCCTCCCTCCCTCCCTCCCTCCCTCCCTCCCTCCCTCCCTCCCTCCCTCCTCCTCCCTCCCTCCCTCCCTCCCTCCCCCCTCCCCCCCTCCCCTCCCTCCCTCCCTCCCTCCCTCCCTACCTCTCTGCCTCCCTCCCTCCTTTCCCCTCCCCACCTCCGCCCCGCTCGCTCCCTTTCTCTCTTTCCCCTCCGCCCCTCTCCATCCCTCTCCTCCTCCCCTCCCCCCTCGCCCCCTGCCCTCACGGGCGTCGCGGGGAGGTCGCTGTGTGCGCGCGCGGGGGCGAAGAGTGCGGGGGATGGCAGTACGCGCGCGCCAGCGGCATCCCCACGCTCGCCTTCCCCGACAACGCCAAGCTGCCGCCCAGCGAACAGATCGGCCTCTCACCTGACGAGCTGCTCGCCGCCATGCGGTCAGTGCCGCGTCCTGCCCACCACAACTGGTAGATTCTTGACACTCGTGCAACAACTTCAACTTGCATGCATCCTGCCGCTCCCCAACTCGCTGGCTTGCATTCTATTTCTTTCTGTTAGCGATACTTGCCATTGCCAGCTCTCAAACCTCGCTCGGTTCCTGCCCGCCCAGCCCACTCGCCTCGCCACGGAATCCCGGCCAGCTACCTACCCGAAGCTGCTGCCACCACTTCTCCTCATGGGCCTCCCTCACTCCGTGCCCCCCTCCGTTTCCCCTGCGCACGCAGCACGGGGTGGGCTACATAGTGCTGGCACGGTCTCTGAAGCTGCTGCCCGCTGCCCTGGTGGGGTGGGAGCGTTTCTCACTCTACCCCTACCCCTACCCACCCCTTTCAATCCCATCTGTTTACTCAGGCAGCACGGGGTGGACTACATAGTGCTAGCGGGGTATCTGAAGCTGCTGCCCGCGTCGCTGGTGGAGGCGTTCCCACGCGCCATCCTCAACATCCACCCCGCTCTGCTGCCTGCGTTCGGGGGCAAGGGCTACTATGGCATGCGCGTGCACAAAGCTGTTATTGCCTCTGGGGCTAGGTGCGTGCGTGCGTGTGTGGGTTAGTGCAGCACAGCACAGGTCACATTGCCAGGTGGGCAGCATGGGCTTCTGTGGGCATCTGCGTGCAGCGTGCTGTCATTGCCTCTGGCGCCAGGTGGGCACGGTGGCCATGCTGCTGGTGTGCTGCGAGTGAGGTGTAGCAGGCAGGGTGTGTTAGTGCGAGTAGGGAGTGCACCTCAACCATGTGAACCTCGCACCTTTCATCTGTCATTCACCCCCTCAATATCATTCTCACCTTGCAATCCCCACCCCACCCCTCCCATCTCATCTCCACGCTCCCTTCCTCCCCCTGCCAGGGTATCAGGCCCCACGGTGCACTTTGTGGATGAGCGGTACGACCACGGCCCCATAGCAGCGCAGGCGGTGGTGCCCGTGCTGCCCTCCGATGACCCCCAAACCCTGGGGGCGCGCGTGCTCGCCCAGGTGGGTGGATGGAGCTCCCCTGCTGCCTCAGGTGCGTGCTCCCCCAAGTGCGTGCTCCCCCAGGTGCGTGCTCCCCCTCCCAGGTGCGTTGTGCGTGCTCCCCCAGGTGTGTGCTCCCCCAGGTGTGTGCTCCCCCAGGTGTGTGCTCCCCCAGGTGTGTGCTCCCCCAGGTGCGTGCTCCCCCAGGTGTGTGCTCCCCCAGGTGTGTGCTCCCCCAGGTGTGTGCTCCCCCTGGTGCGTCCTCCCCCAGGTGTGTACTCCCCCAGGTGTGCGTGCTCCCCCAGGTGTGTGCCCCCCCAGGTGCGTGCTCCCCCAGGTGTGTGCTCCCCCAGGTGCGTGCTCCCCCAGGTGCGTGCTCCCCCAGGTGTGCGTGCTCCCCCAGGTGTGCGTGCTCCCCAGGTGTGCGTGCTCCCCCAGGTGCGTGCTCCACCAGGTGTGGTGCTCCCCCAGGTGCGTGCTCCCCCAGGTGCGTGCTCCCCCAGGTGTGCGTGCTCCCCCAGGTGCGTGCTCCACCAGGTGTGCGTGCTCCCCCAGGTGTGCGTGCTCCCCCAGGTGCGTGCTCCCCCAGGTGTGCGTGCTCCCCCAGGTGTGTGCTCCCCCAGGTGTGTGCTCCCCCAGGTGTGCGTGCATGGGTGGGGCTCCTCTGCTGCCTCAGGTGGGGCTGTGCTGCTGCCAGGTGGGATTGTTTTGCCTGTGCTTCATTTCTTGGCAACATGAGAGTGGCAGGTGGGATTGTTTCCCCCTGTACCCCCCTTTCCCCCTGTACTCCCCTTCCCCCCTGTACCCCCCTTCCCCCCTGTACCCACCGACTTTTTGGAGATTTGGGTGCGTGTGCAGATCCGGTGGAGCAGCGCCGTGCCATGGCAGAGGGGTGTGAGTGAGGCCCGTGCCACAGCACTCTATCCTTCTCACCCCTTCTCATCAGGCTAGGCTACCCTTCCTCCCACACATCCTCCCCCCATGTGTATCACCCCCCCTCCCCCCCCCCTCCCCCACTTCCGTGTTATCAGGAGCACCAATTGTACGCGCGGGTGGTGGCAGCGCTGTGCGATGGTCGAGTGGAGTGGCGGGCGGATGGCGTGCCGCTCATTCGCACAACGAAGGATGGCAACGAGTTTGAGTAGAGTGTAGTGTGGTGCATAGCAATGGCTCGTGGTGGTTAATGTGGGTGGTGGCAGCGCTGTGCAATGGTCGTGTGGAGTGGTGGGCTGATGGTATGCCGTGTCAGAATCCCAGCCACTAACCACTGGGATAAAATGACTTATTTGTGTAGCGGTTGAGTGCGCCCATAACCCTTTCAGGCCGACGTGCATGTAACCCCTCCCTAGGATCAATTGGGAATCTTCAGTGGACCTCTGTCACCCCTCCGCACTGAGATGTCCGAGGTGGATACACTGGGATTCGAACCCGAGACTTTTGCTCTGATACCATGTTAGAAACTAGCAGGAATGAAAATGACTAGAAACAGGTTGGATACAAATAGAAACCCTAGAATGTGTTGTACCCCATGTAAGCTACCCCATTATAGCCTACAATCAACATTTTAGTTTAACATGCCGCTCATTTGCACCACCAGGGATGTCAGTGAGTTGGAGTAGAGAGAGTGCGGTGCATGACAATGGCTCGCCGTGGTCAGGGCCCAAAATAGGTTTAGGGTCACTCTTTCAAATCACGGTGGGAGGCCCCCCGTACCCTGACTCTTAGGGTATTTTTTTCCGTACACTGTTTACAACAGCCTAAAATTTCTGGTACACTGAATTCAGCAGGGTATTTTTCCCAATACACTGTTTCTTTCACAAAATCTAATATTCTGCTGACAGTCCATAAACGGCAGGCATTTCAGAACGACGAACGTGAGGAAAGTGAGAGAATGGCGAGAAGCTGAGAGACCCCTTGGGAATCACAAAGCCCCAGAGAAGCTTCAAGCTGCACGGTTTCCGCGCACCGCGGGAACTGCATGGCAAAAGTTCCAACACAATAATGACTGCCATGTGGTGCAAACGACAACACGAAACCCACCTGGCGCGCAGTTTGGCACCGTTGGCAGTGAGTGATGCTTCGGGAACGCCCTAAACCCAGGTGCGTTGACGCAAAAGTTGCTCAACGGACCAATCGTACGAGGGCGCGTGCAGCCGCACTGCTAATACGTTGGCGCGCCAGTGGGCATACCGTACAAATGGTCCAGTGGGACCGTGGTGAATTTTGTCTTGGCGCGCACTGTGGCGGAATCCTCGGTAAAAAGGTCCGGTAAAAGTGTAGTTGGGCCCGTACCCTGATACAGCCAGTGTAACCAAAATTGTTACCAGAGTAGTTAACAAAGAATCCTGATTTCACTAGGGTAAAAATTTTCATGGCCTGATTTCACAAGGGTAACTCCCAAAAAGCGGCCTACCATCAGGGCAAAAAGGGTATTTTACCCTTGAAATTTGGGCCCTGGCCGTGGTTAGGGTGTGTGAGGTGCAATCCATTTCTTTCGTAATTTTAGTCAAGTTTCGACTTCCCAATTCCAAGCTGGCGAAGTTGAAGTCACTACCTCGCTTTCAGTCTCCGTCGACACTCCTTTCAGACATTTTCGCTCACAACGCGGCTACAATGGCACTTAACGGCGATAACGGTGACAACGCCAACGCCCCAATTCGCCCCGACGACGGAAAATTTTACCCGCGATCCCGCGGGCGAACGTCGTAACAAGCGCCGGGCAGACGACGAGGAGTCGACCCTGACCGTCGTCGAAGTTCTGTTGCGCGAGGCCGACCTCGCTGGGACACGCGCCCCTGGGGGGCCTCGAGCGCAAGTGGCCCCTAAGGGGCCTGAGGCGCCGGCCACCACCGAGGGTGCCAAGTCAACGCCGGCCAGCGCGACCGACGTCAGTACAGCGCCGCCCCACGCGTCTCAGGCCTGACAGGCGCCGTGGCCCCGACGCGCCTCAGGCCCCTGACGCGCCTGTGGCCTCGCGTCACCTGCCCAACTGCAAGCTGTTGTCCCTACAGCAGCAAGCCCTCGCCGTTATGGAAGCCACCGCTACACCAAAAGCGACTTCAATTTCTGCTAAAAGCGCAAAGGAAAAAAGGGAGACGGCGCAACGTGCTCGCACGGCAAAAATCGCACGCACCGAGGGAGCCACTCAGAAGGCTACACCGGGACCGGAAAATCCCGCCGACAGCGACACTTCAGACGACGAAGCTGGTGAGGCACCTGCCGATAATGCATTTTTTTCAACCACCGAGCACCTTCCCCTCTTCCCACCTCCAACACCAACCTCACCGCATCTTCGATCAAGAACGCGGCTGTCCGTGAGCAAGCTGAGCTCCTCTAGGACCTGCGCACCTGCCTGATGCACGCGGAACAGAAGGTGCGACTCAACGTACCAGCAAGTGCAATCGAACTTCTCGAGGAGGCACTCACGCTCGTCACAATCGTTTCAACCTCCTTCACGTCGCCGACACGAACTTCTGCTTCGCGTCGCGAACCGGTTCAAGATGTACGAAGAGAAGAGCTTGTTCACCTCACGCCCATTCAAGCAAGCCATGGCGGACGTTGCGGCCATGGAACGTGTACAAGGCAATCTCGGTCGTGCCGCACGAGGTGGAGGGCGAGGAACCGGGGCATTGGCAACAAACGCGGGCCGCCAATGGACGACAACAGCAGGAGCTTTCGTGGAAACCTGCTTCAAGTGTGGGCAGCCAGGCCACATGGCCAATGTGTGCCCTGAAAACGGGCGAGGACCCCAAGGTCCTGCGCCGGTGGTGTGACCCTATGAGAGGGAAACCACTTGGGGCGCCGAGAGGATGTTGCATGGGCAACATGGCACGCTTAGGCCGCTGGCCAGACCGGTTGAGTGCGTAGAACGGCCGCCGGCCGACCCCAAGTGAAGGGGATAGGACTAGGAGTTCTAGGTGCCATGGAAGGCAATCATGAGATGTATGCGCATGGAATATGAGCCGGAAGGGCATAAAATGTGGATTATTGTTGATGCGTGGCCTAATGAATAATATCTGAACGTTTGAAACCTGGATTGTTGAGGCAAATAGACCTCAAAGAGTGGAGGTATATGCTGTAGATGGAAAAAAGAGAGAGCAGGAGAGAGGAAGAGAGAGAGAGAGAGAGAGAGAGAGAGAGAGAGAGAGAGAGAGAGAGAGAGAGAGAGAGAGAGAGAAAGAAGGAAGAGTAAGACGAGAAAGAAAGGTTGCAAGTGCAATGATGGGGATTTCTAAGGAGGCCACACGATTTGGCCAGCACCAGCCTAATTCAACAGGACACGAGAGCGCCACTAGCAAGGCAAGCACACAAGGAGGCATAAAAATGGAGAGGGGCATGTATATTGCTACGCGATTGCCACGATGGAAAAAAATGGTCCGCGATACAAGGCACGCTACGAGGAAAGTAAGACGAGAAAGAAAGTTGCAAGTGCAATGATGGGGATTTCTAAGGAGCCACACGATTTGGCCAGCACCAGCCTAATTCAACAGGACACGAGAGCGCCACTAGCAAGGCAAGCACACGGAGGCATAAAAATGGAGAGGGGCATGTATATTGCTACGCGCAATTGCCACGATGGAAAAAAATGGTCCGCGATACAAGGCACGCTACGAAAATAATAATAATAATAATAATAATAATAATAATAATAATATAAAATAATAATAATAATAATAACAACAACAACAACAACAATAACAATAACAATAATAATAATAATAATAATAATAATAATAATAATAATAATAATAATAATAATAAATAATAATAATAATAATAATAATAATAATAATAATAATAATAATAATAATAATAATAATAATAATAATAATAATAATAATAAAGCGAGACACGATACGACAGCCCACCCAGGCTCGTTGAACATCGAGAGCCGTCAGATGCACATAGGCAAGCCCAAGGCCCTGGATATTGGGCGTGGAAGGAAAAAAAAAAAGTGAAGAAGAAGAAGCGAGAGAGAGAGAGTGAGAGAGAGGCAAACGGGTCAATACGGAAGAGAAGGTGAGGAGTGTGCATATGACCTATCCAGTAAGGGTAAGCCACACAATGCTCTGTTGTTGGTACACACAATCGCATTAAGGACAATAAGCACTCATTGAAAAAAAAGAAAAAAAAATGCGCACTCACAGTCCGTGCTTTTCTGCGACCCGTTGCACGGATACACTGGAGTTTGGGATGGACGAGCGGCACATTCCCTACGAATACGCGATCACAGACGAGCTCGTAACAAGGATGCGCGGGGGCCGCTACGCGCGGCATTTCCATGGTGGAGCTCATGGTGCGAAAGCAACTTCATACTCTCAGTAATTATACACGGCTACTGGATGCTGTGTGGAAACTTGCCTCCCCGGTGCTGTTTCAGCGCGACAACCATGCGGGTGCACAGATCCACGCCCAGTTCACCAAATAGGCTATTAGCGAGCTCCTGGAAAGCGGCGCAGCGGTTCTCGCTCCCGCGGATCAGCCTGTATGCATTAGCCCACTGAACGTGGTGGTCCAAAGAGAGAAATGCCAACAGATCCTCGACCTCCGCCAAGTGAACCTACACTTGCGCATTCCAAAATTCAAATACGAGGGGCTCAACCGGGTTGCGGAGATCGCTCGCCTGGGCGATTGGATGTTCTCCATCGACCTGAAGTCTGGGTATCACCACGTGGATATTCACCCATCGTGCTGGAAGTACCTGGGATTTCGATTTGACGGGAAGACATACATATTCCGCTCGCTCCCTTCCGGCCTTGCGACAGCTCCATTCGTTTTCACACAACTGATTAAACAACTCGCGCGGCGCTGGCGAGCCATGGGTATACGGGTCATCCCTTATGTGCACGACATCCTTTTCCTTTGTGACACGGAAGCAGCGGCACGAGCCACATATCAATCAATCATACATGACCTCAACAAGGCGGGCCTTGTGATCAACTCGAAAAAGTCGCAGCTAAAACCAACCCATCAACTGCGCTTCCTCGGAGTCGAGTTAGACACTGATCGTGGTCAGTTTTCGATCGGCGCTGAACGACACGCCTCACTCTCCACCATCCAAGATCTACAAAGGGCAGGAAAGGCAAGACGCAAGGTCCCGGTACGTCACATTGCCAGAGTCACCGGCATGCTAGCATCTATGACA